GCTGATGATATTTGTGCGATATAAAGCCAGGTTTAAGTTTCCGTAAGAATATCTCAGTTTCCCGAGTGGAGCTGTATGAACCGCTCTTTTCCTCCGGCCGCAGCGCCGCTGGCAGAGGCAGAACAGCGGGGAGATGAGAGGCACAGAGGTACGTTAAAACACATGTATACACTTTTCTTCGTCGTCTTGTATGAATTATTTTAATGTTACTTGCTCACTTTTCAAGTAAAGCTGTGCTAACCAGTATTTTCCTCCCGCAGTGCGCTGGCAGACCGGCGGGGAGACTCGTGAAGACGAAATAAAGCAGTAAGAGAACATTCAATTGTTAGGTCAACTTTAAAACACATGTAATCACCTTATTTGTTTTATACCAATGCTATCTGTAAGGTATAAATGTGTTTGGGTGAATACATGTCTGTAAGAACATCGGATGGACTGTATTTGTGTCATTTTGTTAGGTTAATGCTTCAGCTACAGATGATGTGTTGCGCAATTGTTAATTGGGTTTCTTTCTTTAGTAATGGCATTCATTCTCGCTACATAAGATACCTGTCTGTTATGTAGTGCCCTGTTATACTGCATTACTGTGTAATATTTATTATTTCTATAGCCATGGCATCATTATGATGGTATGAAGAGATGGATTAATTCATGCAGGACGCCACTGAAGGCCTAGGTGTAAAATGCACACCCGCCACTGATTTTGAGTTTGGGTCCAGGTGGTTTCATCTATAAACATCTAGTTATGCAGTTCCTACTTCTCTCTTCAGCAGATGTTTGTGGTCCAACAGAATTTCCAGACTTGGAAATAAAGTTTTAAAATGTGAGAGTAATATTTTAAAACACAAGAAATGTGTTTTAAAATAGTATCACAACTATAGCGTTAAGGTGTTATTTAGTGCTTTAAGGCTTTAATACACAACACTTGGTCACAGGAAATTACATATTTTATTGTATCTTTATTGTATTTTTGCCACTGACTTCTTAGTTCACGGTGTGGCCTTTCAAGTAAGTTACATTGTGTTTACTTTCAACGCATAAGTAACTGACTCTTCTATTGTCACGTTGCATTATCTGAAACCGCTTTGAATCCATTTCATAACCGCTTCCTCAACATTAAGCAATTCACAAAGACAAAAGAAAAACGTCGCTCGAATTACAAGGCGCCGTGAGGGGTTTTGTAAACAGACATGTAGCCTATAAGGTATATCGTCTCGTGACAAAAAAGTATCAGATAGCAACAGTAGTTAGTGACTGAACCCGTTTAATTCCCTCTGGGCATTATCTTCACTATAGATTTTGATTCAAAACAATGTCTGATTCACAACAGTTAGGAGGATCCAATATTTTCTTACCTAACAGATGAGTGCACGTCCTCCAGAAGCGCTCCATCGACCTCAAGACACAGTGACTCTTTCTCTTCTGTGCCGTGTGTTCCAGCACTTCACGCGTTTCGCCTTTCTTTCATTCACATTCAGCAGGAGAATCCGGATTTTTCAGGACTAACTTGAAAAATGTTTAACCCTGTAAAAAAGTATTTTAATGATTTAATTGTAATGTTACGTGTAGTAAGTTGCTAGTATGCTTACGTTGTGTTTACGAAAGAGAACTAACGTTAGTGATACTAGGAAGCCCGGGCTCATTTCTCCTCCCTTCCTGCTGCGCTTCCTACATGACGTCGAGTTGGAAACTGGGTGAGTTCCCCATTCATTCTACAGTCACTGGATCACAGCCCAGCGCACACACTTCTATAACTTATTTGCTTTAAGGTATGGCCAAAAAATTAACACGATAAAATGTTTCATATCAGTCGATATCGATCATTATCACGGCAAATTATCATTATTTCTAAGTTTAAAGGCAGATTTTTGCAACTAAGTTAAAGTTGTACAAATCAGACCGTTAGCTGTGGTTTTAAACTGCTCTTTATGGTCAGAACATGACAAACACTTCACATTTTTAAAATCTTTACACTTTCCCAGTAATTTTTCCTTAGTTTCTGCATGTTCTAATGAGGTTTGTATTGCCTGACTTTGACGCGTATCTGCAGCAAAGTTTGCACTGTAGGCTGCCATATTTATAATATTACTTTTTTTTGTCTCTTAGAAATACACATTTGACAGTAGACTGAGTTAGGATGCAGATGTAAATTTATGTTCAAAGGAATTTTATTTAAAACAGTAGCCAAATACAAGTTATAGCTTAATCATAAAAAATACTGTAATTATATTCCAGTACTCCTTTAATACATGTCTACATTAATAATATAAGAAAATTCAAGGAATATCCCACATTTTTGCCACAATACCATGGTGCAGTTAGTGTTACTACAGTAAATCCATGGTAAATAATGGCGATTTGTAGATTGAAAAGCTTTCTGACTGTCTCATTGCACTCAGTGATTCTCCTGTTTGTCAGTGTTGTTTTATTGGCTTTAAACTAGTTTAAATCAAATTGGTGTTCTTCGCTGAATTCATATCCATCTCCAGTTTCAGTCAGGTCCAACCTCTACTGCTTATATTCTGAGTTCTCAACAGATCCTACATTTCTAAATGCTAAATTCACTAGTTTCAAGAGGCTACAGCATGTCACTGGATAGCAGTGAATTCACTTTAAATAAACCCAAAATGGTCTTATTGTTCTCAGACAACCCCTTAAAGTGTTCACCAAAGAAAAAAAACATCTTCGTCTTAATACAAGTTGACACAGCCAAGATTTATGTCATTTTCCTGTGGGTTCATAGACAAGGTTTCATTCACTAAATCACAAACGTTATGAATTTGCAAGATTAAACCACATTCTTCTGGCAAATAGGCTAACATTTCAAGTCAAGCACCAATGTTGTGGCATTAATGTTACATCTTTAAAATAATCGTTGAGGAAAGTTTCTTCTTTATTTCTTCTATTTCTTTCACTTGTTACAGTGGTGATTATAATTTAATAAGACTGCTACAAGGGAGCCTTCTGAGTGATTTTTTTTTTTAAAAAGAGGTGAAAATGTCATCTTACAACACAATTATATCTTTGAATTGTAATTACAAATCCAAATGGCAAAACCAACATTCATAAACAGATCAGCTATATAAACAGTACCGTAAATGTTAATTTATTCCTTTAATGGATAGCAGAAGAGTTGAAATAACAACGTGGAAAAAAAATTATCAGGACACAAATCAGTATATCACTATGTAAATAGTGTAATTAATTGTATACCGTACATTGATTTTGATTGTCGCTACAAAAAAAAGCAAGATTGATGATTTCTGAATGAAGATGTCTGAAATGATTAATTATTCAGTAAATAATCATTTCAAACTCAAACGTTATTCAGAGTAGGCATACTGCAATATTCACTTTCAGTATTTCATTTTAAGTTTGTGACTCAGAGAATTGGAAATATATCCAAATATGGTCTCATAATTTCAGCTATTTGAATCTGAAGCATCATGGGCATGTTTATTGTAACATTACATCCTCTAAGAAAAACCAAGTAAGCAAATATTACAAACTACCAGGAATCTATACAATTACAAAAAGCAATTTAAGTGGTTTAACTTGAAATTATCATTCAGTGCACAGAAAAAGCAATCATGACTTACTGCTTCAAATAATTAGAAGTAGGCATAGAATCATATCCATTAAAAATTAAATATAATCTCTTCACTGACAAATTCCTTTTCTACAGTAGATGATTAGAAAACCCAGTGATGGTGGTGGAGAGGAGAGCTATAGGTATTAAGTTTTCTTGGACAGATTCTTCCCTTTCTCCCATAAAGGCACTTCTTACAGTTTGGACCGTAGTGGCTTTAGGTACTTGTGGTGGGACTCGTGCACCTTAAAAATAAATGAATGAATGAGTGACTGAAAGGTTCCTCTGAAATTATTTAACATGCATCACCATAAATGAATACAATACACACATCAAATGCATTGAATACACACCTCAGTATGGTTCAGAGGTGACCTCTTGGCCCACTCAAACATGTGCTCATAGACATTGCCATCATATCTCCCCAGAGTAGAGTTAAGCATCTCATCACGGTAGTCAAAGGCATCAACCAGAGCCACTGCATTGGGCCTTAGCTCTGAGAGAAGACCCTTCAGCCTCTGTGAGATCTGAGCCAGCTGAGGAACAGTTAGCAGACCAGCCTGACAAAGAAAAAAAAAATGATCAGGAACAGCTGTTCCTAGAACACATATGCTAAATTTGAAGTCTGTTTATCTTGAAAAATATATGTCTCAGAGTCAAACTTTTTTGTCCATTTTACCAGAACAGAAAGACTGCACATGGGTTTATCTGCCTCAAATGAATTTTTTGTCAACTTTCAGGAGTACGCTTGCATATACAGTAAACTGCTCAAAGTCATAGCAGATACAGACTAGATATCACAATTTTGATAAAATGTGTCTAAAGTTTGTACTGAGTGGCAGGAGTCAGAGAGTGCATACAGCAATCGAGTCATCATGCAAACATGCACACTCTCAAAAGTTAATTGTAACTGCCCTAGTCATGCTGACATTTTACAACATAAATTGAACTGAAATCAAGCCTATTCTATTTGTGACTAACACCTGTAAAAATATCGATAGATGATGACGTACAAAACTGCAAAATCTTACCACATTTGACAACAAATCTTAATTGAAGTGTGATTTCATCAGTCACATTTTAATGAACCACCGTCATGCTTTTATACCTCAGTAAAGAGTGGAGCATTTGAGTCCCGTGCAGACTACAAAATTGACGGGAGCAGCAATGGAGGACAGCGACTGGATCTAAAACTTCAAATGACACAGATCATTATCTGCGTCTCTGTAAGTTTACGAAACCATGAATACCTGCAATTTGCGTATGTGCAGTGCACATCTCTCTGTATAAGTGACAGAAAACTAGTGGTCCAATATGGTTTTGTTCACAAAGCAGGGCTTCACTGAAAATACAGTTTTGCATTCTGAAAATGTATGGGTGTGAGTTATAAAGTGCAGTTGTCACTCCTGTACATAACGGACATGTGTGCAAAAGCAACCATATTAGTACTGACAGCTGTATTCTTCTGACCATGGTCAAAGAGTGTCAGTGTGGGACCACGGATGACATGTTACATGGGAAAAGAAATTTAGAATCCGCTACAGATGTGTGCAAGCCTTTTTCTGTACTACTAGCTAATATAACCAGACAGTAAAATGCAATTTTGTAGTATAATGTAATCTAATGTTTTTTTTTTTAAATAAACGTAATATCACTCACTTTATTAATGTTTTTACAGTACAGTTGTGCAGTTTTGGAGGATTTATTATATTTTTGTACTTATTTGCCTAAATTTGTAATCATTGTGATATATACAGTGGGTACGGAAAGTATTCAGACCCCCTTAAATTTTTCACTCTTTGTTATATTGCAGCCATTTGCTAAAATCATTTAAGTTAATTTTTTTTCCTCAATGTACACACAGCACCCCATATTGACAGAAAAACACAGAATTGTTGACATTTTTGCAGATTTATTAAAAAAGAAAAACTGAAATATCACATGGTCCTAAGTATTCAGACCCTTTCCTCAGTATTTAGTAGAAGCACCCTTTTGAACTAATACAGCCATGAGTCTTTTTGGGAAAGACCAATGACCACATTTTATGTGAAATTTACTTTAGAGAATATCTACATTTCTCAGTTTCATTCATGGTGATAACATGAAAAGTGTGCTTTTGTTAGTGGAAATTGCTGTCATCTACTGGAAAACAAATACTTTTAAAATTAAAATAACATGAAATTTAAACTACAGCCACTAGATGGCTGCAGAGGATTATTCAATGACTCATGTACCATTCACAAGTTTTTCACTTAGATTTATGTTTAGACAAAATCATTTTTATAACAAATGATTTTTTTTTTTTTTTTTCAAAATTTAGAAAGATTTTGATGGAATGTTTGGGTTTAAATCAAGACATTAAACTTGAGTTTAGCTTACGTATCAGAAGAAACTTCAAGTTTTTTGCCTCATGTTAGCTCTTGAATCTCTTTAAGCCCCAGATAAAATAGTAAGATATTTTAAGGATAAGAATAATAGCAAGGGTATGATGAGAGTAATGGTCTTTTTCAAAAGACATTTGAAAATATGCTTTATTTTCATAATTCTGGTAAGTGACATTACTAATGCAGAAACTGCATACTTCGTCTTTAAATTAACTCCGCAATCTTACAGATACTGGTTTATTAATTGCATGGATTGGTAGGGGCGGAGATAAGGGGTGGCTCACAATGGCAATGGTTTTTTACTTAACAAGAATTGTGTTTATTTACAAATAAAACCATCTCTTCACGACCACAACAAAAGAGAGACTTTTCACGTGCACTCTCCAACTTCGCCTCAGTGCCAGGCACAAGTCAGAGGTACAGGTGCTGAAAGAGCTACAGCAGATGAATAGTAAACAATCGAACAGTAGATATACGAGACAGTGGCGATTAAAGTAGCATCAAAACTTTGCATGCTAGTATGTATTTGTTATAAATGTGTCACATTTAAGAACATGTCTCTCAAATGTTTGGCCTATTATATACTGCAATGTGAGATCACAATATAAGGCAAAAATTTGTCTTTTTTTTTATCTGTATGATGGATGGATGCATTTT